TTGGGGTTTAGGGTTAGGGCTTGGGGTTTAGGGTTAGGGCTTGGGGTTTAACAGGATTTGGGTGGCTTATGGTTTAGGGTTTAGGTACCAGGGAGCTTCGCTGCTGTTGCTTCGGTCAGAAGGAACCGAGCTCCGAAACCCTGAAAGGGTAGTTCTCTGGAATAGGATCTTTTTTGGGGTCCGCTCTATAAGGGTGCCGTACTATATTGGGGACCTAAAAAAGGGACCCTAATGGAAAAAACTACCCTGACAACCGAACTCCTAAACACAAACCCCAAACCCTGAATTCCAAACCTTAACGCTAAACTCGCACAACCGGCACAACCTAGAAACCATAAGCCCTAAATCCCAAACCCTAACCCTAAATTCGCACAACCTTGAAGCCTTGAATCCCTAAACCCTAAACCCTGAACACCCTAAACCCTCAACCCTGAAGCCCTGAAGCCTAAACCCTAAAACCTAAACCCTAAAGCCCTAAAACCTAAACCCTAAAGCCCTAAACCTAAACCTTAAACCCCTCAAACGTAAACCCTAAAGCCCTAAACCCTAAACCTTAAAGCCCTAAAGCCCTAAAGCCCTAAACCCTAAACTCTAAAGCCCTAAGATGCCCTAAACCCTTAAGCATACCTCTGCTCGGGGACCTTCGGCCCACGAGTAGGAACTCCCGAAAAGCTGAGACCCGGACCCCAGAAAGCCTCACCCCGATCCGCAGCAGGCTATGCCTTCAGGGGTTGGGTTTAGGGTTTAGGGTTTAGGGTTTAGGGTTTAGGGTTTAGGGTTTAGGGTTTAGGGTTTATAGTGTTTAGGGTTTAGGGTTTACTTGGAGGTTCATGGGTAGTTATAAACGGGGTTATATGTCCCTGATCTGGGTTATAACTAGAGCTACCCTACTTATAACTCCACTTATAACTACCACTGAACCTCCAAGTAGGGTTTAGGCCCAGGGAAGCCAATACACGTTAATATAAGGACTAGACCTTAAACCCATCCCTAGAATGCAAGGTATGTTCCTTAATTAAGGGGTATTGGGCTCCTTGGGGGGTTTTGGGCTTTGGGCCAAGGGTTAATCACAATAGTATTGATAATTATTTAAGCTTTTGTTTTACGGGTTTAGGGGTTTGAGGCATTTTGGGTCTAGGGTAGGGTTTATAGGTTTAGGGCTTCAGGGTTGAGGGTTTGCAGTTGTCGCGGTTTCAGGCTTTGGGCTTTAGGTCTCAGGCAGTGCCTTCCGCCAGAACATGGGTAGTTTTCCAAACTAGGGTCCCTTTGGGGTGGCTTTTTAAGTAGGGTGCCGTACTACATGGGGGGACCTAAAAAGGGACCCTGATTTAGGGAACTACCCACACACCAAGAGCTCCAAGGCACACTTCAAACCCTCCTCGGCAACTGCCGGAAGTAAAATCACCTTCGGGAAGTATATTAAAACCCTAAACCCAAAAACCCTAAACCCTAAACCGTGATAATTCTACATTAATTGACAAATGAACAAAACCCTAAACCCTAAACCGTGGCAATTCTACATTAATTGACAAGTGAAAAACCCTAAACCCTAAACCGTGGTAATTCTACTTTGACAAGCGAAAAAACCCTAAACCCTAAACCATAATAATTCAACATTGACAAGTGAAAAGAAAACCCTAAACCCTAAACCCTAAACCCTAAACCGTGGTATTTCTACATTGACAAGTGAAAAAAATCCTAAACCCTAAACCGTGGTAATTCTACATTGACAAGTGAAAAAAAACCCTAAACCCTAAACCTTGGACCTCAAAGCCTCAAAGCCTAAAGTCCCGGACCACAAGCCGGAAATTTGTGCAGCCATAATTAACCCTGAAGCCCCAAACTGTACGGTTTAGGGTTTAGGGTTTAGGGTTTAGGGTTTAACCTCAGATCCAAAAGTCGAACCCCAACCCCAAACCCGAAGCCCTGATGCCAACATGCGGGTATACTTTGTGCATGAGTGAAGCCAACGGGGCATGCTAATTCGCAAATCTCCAGACACTATATGTTTAGGGTTTAGGTTTTAGGGTTTAGGGTTTAATTAGGGTTTCGGGTTTAGGGTTTAGCGACCCCAAATGGTGAAACCGCAGCCAAACGGTGTACGGTTTAGGGTTAAGCCCTACGCCACACAGCTCCCCAAACCCGTTCGGTCACTCACCCTAAACCCTAAACCCTAAAACCTAAACCCTAAACCCTAAACCCTAAACCCTAAATCTTGCGGCACTGGGAGCTTCATCTTACGTGCCGTATTTTTAGGGAACCAAAAGGGGCCTTGATAATTAGAATAGGGTTTTGGGCTCCTTTATCGTAGAAGTATAGGAGCCCTGAGGAATAATATATAATGAGATTGACAATGATGTAGGCTTCTATATTGAACCCTGGGTTCGAAATACACACCAAGATTCAACCAGAACTCCAGTGATGTGGTTGTGTCTTAGTAATGATGGTAGTCTTCTCATGCTACTCATCATCGGGGGCGCCGGGTTGAAGTCTATCATCCTTCCATTGCGCAACCTGTTTCGGGTTTAGCATTTCGGAATTAGGGCTTCGGATTGGGGCTTAGGGTTTAGGGTTTAGGGCTAAAGTTTACAAGTTTAGGCCTTAGGGTTTAGGGCTTGGCCGGCTCGCCTCATCGACTTGTCTGCTGGGCGCGGTGGCAAGCGCGGGCGGCTGCGACAAAGGATGCAATGAATAGAGCCCACGCAGGACTCTTCGTGCTGCTGTAATGGTAATACTGCTAGCTGAAGAAAAGCATTATTCGCAATAGCAGCAACTCCTCTTGGCTTCTGGATACAGCCCTTCCTTCTAGCAGGATCGGTCCCACTACAACAAACAGCATGTGGCTACAGCAACCCGAACCCCTCCACCAAAAAACACACTTAAGACCCTAAGCCTGGACCCTAAACCCTAAACCCTAAACCCCTAAACCCTAAACCCTAAACTCGAAAATCCCTCAGACTTGAAGCCAAAGGCGACTTCATCAGCCCTGCAACATGAAGCGCGATGCCCCCAACTGCAAGATGTACCTCTAAGTACCTCCTTGGTGCATCGAACTCATATAGCATCCCCACACCCTAACCCCTAAACCCTGAACCTTAAAATAACACCCTAAACCCTAAACCCTGAACCTTAAAATAACACCCTAAACCCTAAACCCTGAACCTTAAAATAACACCCTAAACCCTAAACCCTTAACTTTGAAATAACACCCTAAACCCTAAACCCTGAACCTTACAATAACACCCTAAACCCTAAACCCCGAACCCTTAAAATAGCAACATTCGTGAGTCCACAGCAACATTGGCTACGATTTCAGACTCCCCCTAAACCCTAAACCCTAAACCCTAAACCCTAAACCCTCAGACTCCTGGGGACAAGAGCTCGAACCAAAACGTTCACGCTTCAGGACTTGAGGCTCCGGGTTTGGGGTTTAGAATAAAGGGTGTAGGGTTTAGAATAAAGGGTTTAGGGTTTAGAGTAAAGGGTTTAGGGTTTAGGGTTTAGAGTAAAGGGTTTAGGGTTTAGAATAGAGAGTTTGGGGTCAAGGGTTTAGAATAGAGGGTTTAGGGTCAAAGTTTAGAATGGAGGGTTTAGGGTCAAGGGTTTAGGATAAAGGTTTGGGCTCAAGGGCTTGGTTCAAGCCATTCAGCAAGAATAGCCCGCAAGAAGCAGCTGACAACTGTGAGCTCCAAACGAGTTTAGAGGTCAGCCCCTTTAATATGACTCCTGAGTAATTGCCAATATTATTCCTTAGGGCTACTTGTTACAAATATAGTATCAGATACCCCGATTCTAATTATTAAGGCACGCCCCACATTATTGACAATGTGCCTAGACGAACTGCCAGGTGAAGCACCGGGGCGCTTCAAGTTGGTGTGCATGGAGTACTTCGAAGTATTGAAGAGCCCTGCAGAATCGCACCGGTCATCTGCATCATCCTGTTTCTTAAGTTCTTCATCGGCGCCAACATCACTGCTATCGCCGTCATCGTGAGCATCATCACCGTGCTCATCGTAGTCGTCATTGTGCCCGTCAGAAACATCATATTTTCTTGGGTTTCGTCTTGATTTCAATGAGCAGAACCAGGACCACCGTCATCGCCAGCATCATCATCAAGTCAGCACACCTCTTCTACATACAATCGTGGGGCCTGCAAACACAGTTGGAGCAGGTTCCCCCCAAGACGGACCCAAACTTCAAGAAACGATGCAAAAGCTTTTAAACCCCAAACCCCTAAAACCCAAAGCCCTAAACCCAAACGATCAGTTAGCCGTTTTCAGGAGCAAGCGCTGCCGAAAACCGTTTTCCTGCCTACTCCGAACTGCACAACGTGCAATGTTCTCTGGGTGAAACTGCGAGAAATCCCAGCCCTTGGCTTCAGGGTTTAGGGCTTTTAGGGTTTTTGGGGTTTTTAGGGGGTTTAGGGGTTTTAGGGCTTAGGGTTTAGGGTTTAGGGCTTAGTGTTTAGGGTTTTTGGGGTTTTTAGGGCTTTAGGGTTTGGGGTTTAGGGTTAATTTTAGGGTTAAGGGATTCCTCTGCTCGTGCATGGGATACGCCGATTCTGAGCCACGGCATTGCGAGCACGTGTTGTGCTGGCAAGTGCCGCTGCAGGCCCCCAAGATACTCTTATTTACATGCGGGAAAATCCTGCAGCAACGTTCCACTCCAGATAGATTGAAGTGAACAACACAAAAAATCGAAATCGAACCTGCTCAGTTTTGGCATTGAGGGTTGAAGGCTTCAGGTTTAAACTATTTTTGACTATTTAAAACATTGCTACCCGACACAGACACCAGTAGCATCCCAACATATCCTCACACTGGGCCGGTAAAAGGACAACGGGCTAGCAGCGACTTGGATGGGGAAACACTTCACCCAGTGTCACACCACAGAGTTTCAGCTCTAGAGCCTGCAGGCTCTAAACCAAAATCTCAAAAGCGCCGTATGGGTAGGGTTTAGGGTTTAGGGTTTAGGGTTTAGGCAAGTCGTTGGAGCGTCGCTCAGGTCAGTAAATGTGGTGCCTGTCCCGGCAAAGTCTTCCTGGCAACGGCTGACCACCAAAAGCATTCCTAGCCTGCACCCGAATCCCAAACGACCAAGCCCTATAGTAGTAGCCAGAAAGTTGGAACATAATTCTCCTCATACCCTTCAGGTAAAGCATAAGGGATCCTAGCACGAATCCTCCTAAATCCATGTTCCAACTTTCTGGGATTCGCTGTAAACCCAATTCTACCAAAACCCCACCCCCCCCTGAAAGCGCTCTGAAACGTAAACATCCCGAAACCCTCGCAAGGCCATGCAGCCAATGCCTCGTGAGGCTATAGCCACACGGGCTCAGAGGAAGAGCCTTACACAATACTATTGGGTATTCATAATATAGGGGGTAGTATAAGCGAGAAGTATAGGGGCCGGCATCACTAGAGCATGGTCCGGGGGGGGGGGGGGGGGGGG